TGCCTTAGACCTGGTGTTCACCTCTATGGATGTTGGTGATCTGACATTAAGTAAAAGCGAAACCAAAGAAGTGCCATGGTCAGATCACTTCCTGGTGCAACTGGACTTCTCCGTGACCCTTCCTCTGCAGGGAGGCGGGACCGATTCAGATGGTCCGCCCCGCCACTTAATGGATCCAAATGGTTTCCAGAGAGTGGTAGGGGATGTTTTATCCCATGTTGATGGCCTTTCAGCTGATTCCCTGGTGGCCCGCTGGAATGTGGAGTTAACCAGGGCTATTGACTGTTTGGCTCCAAAGCGCCCTCTCCGATTGCATGGAGTCCGGACAGCCCCGTGGTTTTCCACGGATCTGAGGGCAATGAAACAATCGTTGAGACGGCTAGAGCGCCGGTGGCGGATAACCCATTCTGAATCTGACCGGACACGGGTTAGAGCTCAATGTCGAGCCTACCAAGTGGCGATAGCGACGGCGAAGAAGACTTTCTTCACCGCCTCTATTGCATCTGCGGAAAACAGCAGCAGGAGACTCTTTCAGGTGGTTCGCAATTTAGCGGAACCACCTGCTCCATCAGGGCCCAGTAGCGGCCACATGATCTCCTGCAATGACTTTGCAAAGTTTTTTGCAGATAAAGTCGCTCAGATTCGAGAAGAGGTAGACTCCACCGTGGGAGCAGGGCCGGGGCGGGAGAGTGCTAGAGTCCTGTCTAGTCAAGTTGTGTGGGATCAATTCCAATCTGTTACCCCCGAGGATGTGGACAGGCTGCTTGGACGAGTGAAACCAACCACTTGCCTCCTTGATCCTTGCCCATCCTGGCTTATAAAAGCTAGCCGGGAAGGACTGGGCGATGGGCTTCGTGGGGTGGTGAATGCTTCCCCCGTGAGGGAGCCTTCCCAGACCCGCTGAAAGACGCGGTTATTAAACCGCGTCTTAAAAAACCATCTTTAGATGCGGCCACGATAGCCAACTATCGCCCAGTCTCAAATCTTCCATTCTTGGGCAAGGTGATTGAGCGAGTGGTTGCTGAACAACTCCAGGCACGCCTGGAAGAAGCGGACCATTTGGATCCCTTCCAGTCGGGATTCAGGCCTCATCATGGGACTGAAACTGCCTTGGTCGCACTGGTTGATGATCTCCGGCGGGCTAGGGACAAAGGTGAGAGCTGTTTCCTAGTTCTGCTGGATCTCTCAGCGGCGTTTGATACCATCGACCATAACATCCTTCTGGACCGTCTTGAGGGGCTGGGAGCTGGGGGCACTGTTATACAGTGGTTCCGCTCCTTCCTCCTGGGCCGTGTTCAGAAAGTGGTGGTGGGGATGAGTGTTCAGACCCCTGGGCCCTCACTCTGTGGGGTGCCTCAGGGGTCTGTCCTCTTCCCCATGCTTTTCAACATCTACATGAAGCCGCTGGGAGAGATCATCAGGGGATTTGGGCTGGGTGTTCATCAGTATGCAGATGATACCCAGCTCTACCTCTCTTTCAAATCAGAACCAGTGAAGGCAGTGAAGGTCCTGTGTGAGTGCCTGGAGGCGGTTGGAGGTTGGATGGCGGCTAACAGATTGAGGTTGAATCCTGACAAGACAGAAGTACTGTTTTTGGGGGACAGGAGGCGGGCAGGTGTGGAGGATTCCCTGGTCCTGAATGGGGTAACTGTGCCCCTGAAGGACCAGGTGCGCAGCCTGGGAGTCATTTTGGACTCACAGCTGTCCATGGAGGCACAGGTCAAATCTGTGTCCAGGGCAGCTGTTTACCAGCTCCATCTGGTACGCAGGCTGAGACCCTATCTGCCTGCGGACTGCCTCGCCAGAGTGGTGCATGCTCTGGTTATCTCCCGCTTGGATTACTGCAATGCGCTCTACGTGGGGCTACCTTTGAAGGTGACCCGGAAACTACAACTAATCCAGAACGCGGCAGCTAGACTGGTGACTGGGAGCGGCCGCAGAGACCACATAACACCGGTCTTGAAAGACCTACATTGGCTCCCAGTACGTTTCCGAGCACAATTCAAAGTGTTGGTGCTGACCTTTAAAGCCCTAAACGGCCTTGGTCCAGTATATCTGAAGGAGCGTCTCCACCCCCATCGTTCTACCCGGACACTGAGGTCCAGCACTGAGGGCCTTCTGGCGGTTCCCTCACTGCGAGAAGCCAAGTTACAGGGAACCAGGCAGAGGGCCTTCTCGGTAGTGGCGCCTTCCCTGTGGAACACCCTCCCACCAGATGTCAAAGAGAACAACAACTACCAGGCTTTTAGAAGACATCTGAAGGCAGCCCTGTTTCGGGAAGCTTTTAATGTTTGATGTATTATAGTATTTTAATATTCTTTTGGAAGCCGCCCAGAGTGGCCGGGGAAGCCCAGCCAGATGGGCGGGGTATAAATAATAAATTATTATTATTATTATTATTATTATTATTATTGACATTGACTACAGACAGGAAATTACACAAGGCTGAAGGAATCAAACAATTCCCATGTTCCTTTAGTCACAGACCCCAGTGGATCTTAATTGATCAATATAGTGCACTCAATCAGTTCCACTTACTGCAACTCAACAAACAGCAGGCAACACAAATCACAACTGTCTTGGCAACATGAACCTTTCAGGGAAGAGGAGGTCAGAAAGAAGCCTTGAAATGGACTTTTCTGTGCGCTCTGTTTTCGGCAGCGCCTCTTTGATGCTATTTTCTCCCACCTAAGGCCTCTTACTGTGGCCTTGAAGGGTCTTAATTGGTACTCTCCAGACTGGCACACAACATGGGAATGTTGTGATCCTCAAACTAAGCTTTTACGGAAAGGCACTAGCAGAGTTTCAGAAGGAGAAGGGGGGAAACAAGTCTTTTGGGGGGTCAGATTTTTTTAAAAAAAAGTTTGAAGAAAGGAAAAAAAGATCAATAGGCCACAGGTCTTGCTTGTCCAGCTATCGTGCCCAGGAGATGAAACAAGCCCCAAAAGAATCAGCAGAGATGTTGGATGGAGCACAGGGGAGCAGCTACAATGTAATAATAATAATAATAATAATAATAATAATAATAATAATTTTTATTTATACCCCACCCTCCCCAGCCAAGGCCGGGCTCAGGGCGGCTAATGTAATCACTAAGATTATTAGACCACACCAAGGTCCTAGGAGTATCACAAATATTTGAAATATATTAGAACAGTTTTAAAAAATAGTCACAACGATAGGGTTCTACCGTTGTTGTTGTTGTTGTTGTTACTGTTGTTGTTAAAATTTGTATACCACTATATACCCGCAGCTCAGGGCAGCTCACAACACAAAATTACAATATTAAAACATAAAGTACACACCAAAAATAAAAACAAGAACAACCCAATTATTCTCTCCCCCAGCACATTTTAAAAGGGCATAGGATGTCAATCAGCCCAAGGGCTGGTTAAAGAGGAATGTTTTTGCCTGGCGCCTAAAGGTGTATAATGAAGACACCAGCTGAACCTCCCTGTGGAGAGCATTCCACAGAGGGGGAGCCACTGCAGAGAAGGCCCGTTCTCATGTTGCCCCCCTCCAAACCTCTCGTGGAGGAGGCACATGAAGAAGGGCCTCAGAAGATGACCTCAGGGACTGGGTAGGCTCATATGGAGAGAGGCGGTCCTTGAGGTATTGCAGTAAGCTACGGTGGAACTTCGGGTTACAGGCGCTTCAGGTTACAGACTTCACTAACCCAGAAATAGTACCTCGGGTTAAGAACTTTGCTTCAGGATGAGAACAGAAATCGTGCGGCGGCGACGGGAGGCCCCATTAGCTAAGGTGGTACCTCAGGTTAAGAACAGTTTCAGGTTAAGAACGGACCTCCAGAACGAATTAAGTTCTTAACCCGAGGTACCACTATATTGATTTTTTTAAAAAATGATGGTATTAAGAACAGAAGAAGAGCCTGCTGGATCAGGTCAAATGTCAGTCCAACATTTTGTTATCACAGTGGCCAACCAGACACCTGTGGGAAATCCACAAGCAGGACCTGAGCACAAGAGCACTCTCTCATCCTTTGGCTTTTGTTATTGGCAAGCCTGACTTGCCTTTCGAATCTCTCCTACCTTTTTGCCAATTTGTTTCTTTACTCCCATGGCCTGCGAAACCTTTGCAGCTTTTCACAGACTTGGCTTACTTACATGGTGTCTTGTCTCAAGGTCTGTGGACCATGCGCTGGGGCTGAGTTAATTGCCTTTTCTAAAACAAATGCCAAAAATGTGCACAGGCAGCTGCACACCCTACAGACACCAATAATTTTACTGGAGTGTACAAAAAGGAGGAGACAGTGGGAGTGATTTTGGGAAATGTCTGTCAAGAGTTATGGAGTAGCTTGGACTTGCACTTTTCTTTTTCTTGTTGGGGAATGGTGAATAGTTGGACATGTGCACACCTAGATTTCTTAAAGCAAAAAATTTCTAATATAACTTCACTGTGAAATGTAATAATAATAATAATAATAATAATAATAATAATAATAATTTCTACCCTGCCCATCTGGCTGGGCTTCCCCAGTCACTCTGGCTGGCTTCCAACAGAATATTAAAATACAATAATCTATTAAACATTAAAAGCTTCCCTAAACATGTTAATCCTAAATGTTAATCCAAATGGTCAGCAATAACCATGGTAAGCTTTCATCTGCACTATACATTTAAAGCAATGCTCTGCACCTTTAAACAGACTCCCCATGTGTCTCTATTTTCCAGGGACAGTCCTAGATTTACGGAAGCTGTCCCAGTTTCTGAACTGATCCCTGAATGTCCCGCTTTTCCATAGGACGTCCCTATTTTCGTCAGAGAAATGTTGGAGGGTATGGAGTTATCTGACCTCCAAGCCATCTGAAGGCAGCCCTGTATAGGGACATTTTTAAATGTTTTAATGTTTTATTATGTGTTTATCTATGTTGGAAGCCTCCCAGAGTGGCTGGGGTCTCCCTAGCTTTGTATTATTAATACTGTCTGGCAGACTCTTTCCAGAATCTCAGACAGAACTTCAGAATTTCTCTCAGCTAGACCAGGAGATGCTCAGGATCAAACCAAGAGCCTTCTGAGTGCAGAACAGATGCGCTGCCACTGAACTACAGCCTTCCCTCCATTGAACCAATGGGGCTCCCTTCCCAGGCATGTAGCAACAAGATTGAAGCCAATGGCATGTCGTTTATATATTGATATGCTGTGGAGATATTACATAATTCTGTCCATCGCCTCAGAGTCAGACACACCACTGAAAATGCAAACAAGTAGATTGGGTCGACTGCCAAACCAATTCCCAAAACAGATCAATTTTCAGCCGTGGCAAAAATGAATTCAAATGTGAGTTTGCCGTTTCAGCTCAGATCTAGCTAAAAATCAAACAGTGTGCATGTATGCTTTCTTCACAGACACCCTTTCACTTGCCCTGAACACATTGTATAAATCCACTTCTGAACGGAAATCAATAAATATGCAATAAGATAAGGAGCTGCAATTATATCCTTGTAACTCCGTTATTGGGGCCGCTGTCCTTTAATCGTTTGCTCCAGAAGATTCCTAGTGAAGTCAACTACATCTCACTTAGTAGCCATTAGGGGTATAAAATGATGACTTATTCGGCTATCCGTAGCCATCTTTCAGACAATTAGCTTATCGCAAACGCGAGCAACAGAGCAAAGCTGATCCCATTGACGTTAATGCTACCAGGATTTGATTCAGCGTCCTAGAAAGGTCAAATGGGATAGCTTAAGAGAGCCAGATCAAGCCGTCAGACACTTCTGAAAAATGTCAGAGTCGCTTTGAACATTAGTGGGTTTTTTGCTTGAGATGCGAGACGATCAATTGCAGCTGAAGCCTGTTAGACATTTATAAGTTTCTTTTGTCATTGCTGGATTTCTCCCAAGTATGAATTTCTCAGCCTATTGCAAGTATCTCCCCAGTAAAGGGAATTTTCTACCACCTGCCGTGCACCAGACTCCTTAAATCCAAGCTATCACACAGCCATGGATTGTATACACTGTCTTTACAATGGTATCACGCTGGTCAGACATACCGACCTGCCGTTGCAATTGAGATCTTAGAAACTCCCCTACTGAGAAGGCTTAAAGAGCTGTATATAGCGAAATCTTTTTAAGAGGTTGGGGGGGGGAGAGGTTGGTCTTTATGGAAGCGGGTGAATTATTTATGCGATTAAAAGTGTGTGTTTGCAAAGAGAATATAAATTGCCTCAAAATGTCTCAAAGGGAAAACACCGTTCGTTTTGCTGAGCGCAACGGCGTGTCACTTCAGAAAGGGAAAACACCAAACGACATGGTGGCGGGGGGGGGCGATGGCTGAACGTGGCCCGGAAACAGTCGCGAGCAGAACTGATCTCTACGGGAGATCGAAGGATCTTACAGGTGTCCACAGCGAGGCAACCGGCACAACCCGCGCTAAGCAGTTTTCCACCTTTTAAATATGTTTTCCCTTCTGATGGCTTCCTGAGATAGCAAATGGCTGCTCAGCTTCCTAGCTTTGAAAGAAGTGGTGCCATGTTCAAATAATTCAGCTGAAAAACATAGGGCTGCAGCCAAGGAAGTTGTTCCGTGACTGGAATGAATTGCACTTGTGCTACAGAACTTTGGGCGTTCACACAGCACTCTGGAATAGATTGGGGGGAGTGGATTGGGGGAATGAAAGGGAGAGGAAGTTCCATTGCCCCACGGAAGCCATTTCCACTTGTTTAATGACATTGCTGGAATCATCAACAAAGGATTGCCTTGCTGGTATGGATGGGTGAATCCTGCCCCCCCCCTTTCCTTCTCAGATTCTCATTTTTCCAGCTTTAAGTTGAGTTCTCCACATTTCTGCATCCATTTGCCATTAAGGGGAAAAAATTCCTCGTGAAAATTTGTCGGCATTTCAGTGGAAATTTCTGCTCAGTTTGCAAGTTTGCCTAACATACATGTTTTGCAAGCAACTTCCCCTAGCATAATGCATTTTGCACGTCGTTTTCACTAATATTGCATACTTCGAAAATGTGCACTTTTTTACCCAAAGAGCCGCATTACAAAATTCGGTGAAGTGCAGATTTCAAAGGATAGCTGTGCTTCAGTGCACAGAAAGGGAGAACGAGGTAAATTCCCAATAGAATCCTAACCAAACCAAATTTTCATCCCATCTCTACTTGCATGATAAGGCCATGAGGTGCCTCCCCAGGATTCCGTTTCTAACATTGACCAGCCAGACATTTGGGACAATTTGTCTCATCTTAAGTTCAGTTCTCTACATTTCCACACCAGTTTGTAGATTTGTTTTTAAATCTGTAGGAAAATTCATGCTCACCATAGGGCAATGTCTTCCTAGTATGTGTGCAATTTTGCAAAGCACATACCTACTAGCTTGGTATTCCTGGTCCAAGTCCAACACTCATATTGACTAAATGAGCCAGCTCATTGTGAAGCAGCTCTCATGGCTAATACCTATTGGCAGATTCTTTTCCATATGAATATGTCTAATCCTTTGAAAGTAGGACTGTGCAGTGACCACAAGCTTCACCTTGCATCTGTAGCATTTGGAAACTTTTCCAGATCTGCTTTGTGCCATTCTGATTCATTTCATTGTTCATGTAGGAAATGGATCTGTTACATCCAAAGCTCCGGTTCACTCCCGGTGACTATAACGGGGAATCTAAAAATGGCTGTATATATATTTTTTTCCTTATCAAAGGCAAAGAAAACACTCCAGAGTGGATTAAGCCTGCCAAATTCCAGACAGGTTTATCTGGGGGAATTTGTGCAGTGAATCTTTTCTTTATTATTGTTTTGGGGGTCTTTTTATTTTCTGCCAGCACTGCATCATAGCTGTCAACTTTTCTCTTTTCTTGCGAGGAATCCTATTCAGAATAAGGGAATTTCCCTTAAAAAAGGGAAAATGTTGACAGCTATGCACTACAGGCAAACGTCAGGCATGGTCACAAAGGGATGCATGATTGTGGTGGCAAGGAAGGTGCCTAGGGGAGAGTCATCCCCACATGCCTTTCTCCTCGTGTAAATTGTGCTCCTCCCAGCTCTTCAGGCAGCTCTTTGACAGACTAGGGGGAGCCTGACCTCTCCCTGTCTGGAGAAGTGTCTGCCCTTCCAGTGATGGACCTTGGTGTCTCAAATTTCAGCGGTGCCCTGTGCAACACCAAAACCTGTGTGCCCCGCCCTGCCTCTCACCTTCTGTTGAATGTCACAGTTGTGGGGCCTTCTGCACCAGTCGCATTCTCCTAGATCCACCTTTGCCCCTTCTCTGCCCTGGCAGTCATAGCCTTTGAAAGTGAGGATTGGATCACAGAAGCATAGATTTGCAGAGTTGGAAGGGCAGCCCACCACTGTCAAACAGCTCTTCCTGTCAGAACATTCTTCCTGGTGTTTAGTCTGAATCTCCTTTCTTTTGACTTGAAGCCATTGGTTCTTATCCTACCCTTCAGAGCAGGAGAAAACAAGCTTTCTCCATCCTCCATGTGACAACCCTTTATATATTGGAAGATGGCTATCATATCTCTTCTCAGTCTCCTCTTCACAACATACCCAACTCCCTCAACTGTTCCTCATAAGGCTTGGTTTCCAGACCCTTGATCATCTTGGTCTCCCTCCTCTGCACACATTCCACCTTGTCACCTTCAACTGTGGTGCCCAGAGTTGTCAGTGACATGATTCCCATTATCAAAGTGCTTTTCTCTCTCTGCTGGGGGACGGGGTGAATGGAGAGAGGGAGAGAATGAGTGTGTGTGCCCACAGGCCACAGCTCCAGCCTCACAACCCTTAGGTCCTCATCCACCACTACATTTGGCCCCTAGGGGCAAAAATGTTGCCCATCATTGATATGCACACATGGGAGTGGACAAAGAGGGGAGAAGTCAAGGAGAAATGGACTGCACAGAAATGCACTGTGGATGAATGGCAATTACATGAAAGCAAAATAGCTTCCGTGATCATTAACAAAGCTGTGTGGGCGATAGCACAAACATCCTGCTGCTGGCAAGCTAGCTAAAGCAAGCCGGTGTGGGATAAAACACCTAATCTTGATTCAAGACGATAGGATTGGATTTTCTGGTCAATGGTAATTCAGCAGTTTCATGCTGAAGTTCCTCTTTGAAGTTCCTTTGTTCCACAATGGCTAGTTTAAAGTCAGCAGCAGGGTGCCCTGTGAGGTTGAAATGTTTTTTTCTGCTTTCTACTACCCTTTGTAGTGTCTTTTTTGTTTCCATTTACTCTTTTGCATAGAGATTGGCCTGTTTTGCCATACGCAGACTGTAGAAGAGCATTGCTTGCAGACGGTGGCATTTATCACACTGGAGTTGAACAACATGCCGTCCAACTTTTTCAGACCCTCCATTTAAAGCAGTATCATACTACTATAAATGGTAATGGCTTCCCACAAAGAATTATGGGGAATGATGGACCTGGCACAAGACTCTTCCCCGCACCAGGCCGTCTCCGACTCCCAGGAATGGCGGGGGGGGTGGAGGTAGGTGGCCACAGTCCACAGCTCTCTTCCCTCTGCTTCCTCCAATGTGAAGCCATTCTGATTAGCGTACCTCAACAAAAATGGGAATCACTGTGACAAAGTGAGAAGCCATGATGGCTTAAGGGTTTCCATGATGGTCCTGACACTTTGGGGATGCTGGACACTATGCAGTCCCTCTTCCCAGGGAACTCTGGGAACTGTAAATCTGTGAAAGGAACAAGGTCCTCTGAACAACTCTCAGCACCCTTGACAAAATGTCCCAGGATTCTTGGTTTGATACTGTCTAAAATGTATTGTGTAAACAGGGTCTTAGTGAGTTTCCTACAGAAAGCAACCCAGCCAAAGATGGAGAGGCAGTTAAATGGGTATGATTGATGGAGGAGGGGTAGAGTTACAAGACCAATACTAATTGCACCCTCAAGAGATTTCATTCACCTTCACTGATACAGACCCTTCAATTGTCCCTATTTTCCAGGCACAGTCCCAGATTTACAGAAGCCATCCCAGTTTCTGATTTGATCTTGGAATGCCCTGCTTTTCCTTTTTTAGGACATCCCTATTTTCATTAGAGAAATGTTGGAGGGTATGGAGTTATCCAACCCCCGAGCCCTCTGAAGGCACCCCT